CGAATTAACGTTTAACCAAAAAGAACCAAGAGAAATGGCGAGATGTATTACATTTGGAGCCTTAAGTACGGTAAATAAGAATAAAGCAACAACTGACTCACCAAACGGTGGCATGCAGACAACGGCTTTTTCGGCGTGTGCCACCCTATGGTAGTAGGCGAAGCAATCATGATCTGCTAAACACTCTGATAGAAGAATACCCGCACCTGTTATTCGACAGTAAATAGAGCTTCCTTTTGATATTGCCGTTACATAGCACACGAGTGAGCTCACTATTTGACTCGTAAAGACAACTATCCGAGGTCGACGGAAGTAAAAGCAAAGTAGGACATTTTATAAGGACATTTGTTCAGCGTTAGAACCGTCACCTTAACGATAATGGTACCATCGGGTTCGAATGAAATGTGAACAGTGGCGGAACTTAGAGCCCACTACCGGCGCAGCTTCTAAGCTTGGGTTGTACTTGGTGAGGTTCAAACACATCGGAGTAGGACGCACAACCTCGTAGCATCCTAATCCGATGTGTTCGAACCTCGCCAAGCACAACCCAAGCTTGGAAGCTGCTCCGGTAGTGGGCTTAAAGTTCCGTCGCTGTTCGCAATTCATTCGAACCCGATGGTACATAAGAGGCCTCTAGTACAACACGCAGGCTGAAGTGTAGCTGCTCAAAGGGCACAATGCACGTTATGGCTAGATACTGTGGATCGGAGCTACTGCATATGGTGGCTTCAGCTGTCAGAAAATTGTCTTTATAGGCAAAGGTACACGCTATAGGAGCATAACATGAGGGGCAGCAATGGCAATCGCCATTTCGGCCTTTAAAATAACCACCCATGGCAACCGCGCTACTTGTGGCATTTAGCGGTTATTTTATTGCGTCGTCTTTCGAACATGTTCATTCATGTTCAGGACATGGTGTGGTTTTCTCAACGTACTGCCGGTTTGGTTGACTTCGTAAAAAGAAAGTAGTTGAAGAATGAATTCTGGAGCGATCTTTACGTTCAGAAAACGCCGTCGACACGCGACACTGAAAACCCGCGTGAACATGCCTACTATGTTCAGTTCGTTCGGTCATCATTGCAACTGAGGCATATCAGATTATCTAAACGATAGCTCACATGGTGTTTTGTGACCAATTATGGCGCGGTGGTGCAGGGAAAATCGCTGCGTTACTCTGGCAGCTGCATAAAGCTGCCTGCCATATACAATGCCTGATAATACGAGCAACTGGGATACTCAGATATTCTCAAGCAATTTGTACTCCCGGAACCATCACGTCGAGAAAACGTATGTGTAGTCTCCCTGGGTGTATCATTAACAAAACAGGTGTGGTGCCAATGGCAGTGTTGCCAAACGTGCGCCATTGCACTCCGGTGCGGAAGCTTTAGAGCGTGCCATACCGAGACTTCTGTAAGACGTTGCTTTATCCGTGTTTTGATCGCAAGCGTGTGCAAGATTTGAAACAATGCACCAATGTGAAGGCATAAAAAACCGATTCACCAAGAAAAGAAGACGCAGGGAAGCTAGCTTCAAGGAATAAATAAAGTGCAAGCCAATACCCTGACCATTTCTTAGATTCTTACCACTCCAAAACTTTGCTCACCAAAATTATTCACAAAACCCAACATACGCCGTGGCGGTGGCACAATATACTGTACTCTCCAAAAGTCTGGAATAATCTGGAGCATTCATTCAACCACATGCACCAAAAACACAATTTGGAGAAGTTTTGCGACAGGAAAGGAAAGAAAACACTAAGCAGTGCGTAATATGATGAAGAAACGTCGGTGACGTTGACATGATTGGGTACTGCAATCTACAAATGTCGCATCATAGTGGAGTTCTTGGAGGACTGGTTTTTCCTCAGAAATTCACTGTAAGCGTTGCACATGACGCATAACAGTTCGACGTTTCGGCAGTTGGTCATTCGTTTGTTGAGAACATGTACCCAGCGGCGTCACGAGGGTCAGCGGCACCCGGGGCCCGCCACGACCCCCCCCCCCCCCCCCTCTCGCGTGGCCCGCCGCGATCTCCCCCCTCCCCCCCCCCCCCCCCCCCCCGCTCTCCTGGCCAGCCGCGACACCCCCCTGAGCGCTGCGCCCCCCCCCCCCCCCCCCCCCCCGCTCCCTTGTGACGCCACTGCATGTACGACTGTACGACTTCAAAGATAGCTCAGGTTTGACTTCACCAGATACAGCAGTAATCGGTAGTATTTGAATTTCCAAGTCTGATTAAATGACAAACAAAAACATCGACAAACCTTCGTTTATCCACATTCAGAAAAAAGTTTTAAGAAAAAATAAATAAAATTGTGACATGTCTACAGGATACATATTGAACATTGGAAGGCCGCATGAACATCTGCAAGATTATGAGTTCTGATCACAGATGGGATTAATTAACCGTTCAATCGTAACTGCAGTTCATGACATACATAATGACGATTTTCACCTTTTTCACCGTGGGAGAGACTCTACAGCGATGCGCTTTTTTCTCGTACAGTTTTGCATACTCGCCTTTTGTAGAAATTTTGTTGTCTTTTGTAAAATTCTGGAAGCCAACTGGGGGCTTGGCGTTCAGTCCACAAGATCTGCTTCTCGTTTGTCAATTCAATAGAAGGTATCTTATTTTATTTTTCATAATGAAACAGCGCACCAATAATTTTCTCCTCTCCATCCGCTACCACCCTCGATGATTTGTCTTGAATTTAGTTTTCGCTTCTTTTTTTTTTTTTAATGGGTTTATATAAAAGCAAGTTCTACGTTTTTGCGAATTTTTGGAAGGTATAAACCAGATTAAAACCTTTTGTTTACCTACGCGGTTAAGCTAACGACTTAAAACAATCTGGACTTGAGTGGTTCCTCAAATAAATATCGTTCAAATCATTCATAGCAAGTCATTCACATCTTACAGCCCGTATCATATTCCTAGAGTTACTCACCGAGTCGTCGCGTTAACTCTTCTCCCGTCTAATTTGTTCGAACCTTACCAATCTAAAACTCTGGCAGAGTCATCTCAACGAGAAACAAGCAGAGTAGATGGTTGCACTGTAGGAGAGCTCTACCAGTACACAAGCACGAACAATGCGTAAACTTCGTACTCAGTCAGCAACTTCAACAGCAACACTCCAAGGGTATAGCACCGGGGACCAACAAGGGAGTTGATGTAACTTGATGGCGTTGGCATCTCTACACCAGGAAGACTTACAAGATCAGCTCTCCAGACATTGTGCCATTGTACACTAAAAAGGGCAGATCAGAGTGGCAAAGTTTCTTACTGTTACACAAAGAAAGCAAAATTATCCCTACGTAAGTTGTAGAAGGGAAGGGATAATGTCAGAAACTTGCTTCTATAGATCGTAGTCTCATATATCAAGTGCAACCTAAACAATGTCATCGGTATGAAGGCATCAAAAACCGAAACTCGCAGGTCTTCCTTGAGTAGAGAATGTCCTTTGTGACGGCTATCAGGAGGAAGGAGAAATTGGAAATGCATAACTTCTATAGACAGGCACAAACTCTGAGCTGGAGCATTTGAAGATGTCGTCGGTGCCTTGAGTTGAAAGGCAACGCCAATGTGAAGGGGTGCTGCTGAATCATGGTGACGGGAAGCAAGAAAGTACTTCTGTATTAACGCTCATACAGCCCTCCCATATTACATTCCTACCGTAAGTTATAAATTTCTTTAAAAACAAAACGACATATGCGAGTCTGTAGATACATCCTTCACTAAGAATTAATACAATATTTTGTGTATCTTGACTTTAAAAGAGCATCGATCATTGTTACTCACGCTGAATGCATAAGGCAAAAATAAATAAACTCGTATAAAACTAAGAATAAAAAAGAATATTGCCTAAAAGTAAGTTGCTGTTGCCAGGTCCATGACGCGCACATTTCCCTTTTTTTCTTTTTTTCTTTTTTTGAAGGAAACTAATTTATGTTTATAAGCCTCTAGAAAGTTGTACAGTAACTTCTTAAATAAAACGAATCCAAAACTAAAAACGTAGTGTTAATTTTCTTTTTTGGTTAGAGATGTTGTGGTAATTGTAATGACTTGTCATTTCTTGTACATTTCAGTTCTTAAGGTTTATCGGTACAAAAACATCTGAAAATAAAAGAAAACAATGCCTTTTTAGTATCACTTTGATGTACAATTAATAAAAAACATGTCTGTGCAGAATCTACTACAATTAATTAGTACAATGCCACCGGGAACAGGATCCACAAAAAAATCTGACTGAAGAAGGGATTATTTTCGGGTTCCTGAAGCACGCACACGTTCAGTTGTGGGGTGTAATTAAATTTCACTAAACAATCAACACAACACACAAATGTTTTGACGCTATACAAGGAGTTGGTATATCGGAAACTATGGAAGGTAACTACGGTAAAATATGGCAATCATGTTGGTCACAAACGTTAGCAGTGCCAGGGCGTGCCCACTGACCATCCACATGCCATGATAGGCCAAACCACGTTTCGTCCTCAGAAGAGCAGCCGTAGAAATTACCAATCAAGAAACAGTGGAAGGGACGCGATTTTTACATGCCCCGCATTTCTCAAGTTATCAGTGACAATAGCACTTTATAGCTTTCATGTTTGCTTCGCAATCACGACATGGCTCAGACTTTGAGGGACCCGGGGACAGTAGGCGTTGACCGTATTCCCTGGGCTTTTGTTTCTTCTGCTAGTGGCGAAGGTTGCTTCCGCGGACCTCGCCTAATCAGGTCAACTACCTCGAAAATATGATTAAGATAGTAAACAATAGTCGCATTCATGCCGACTTTGACGTAGCTCACCCGACAACAGTGATAGAGCGTAACACGAGATAGCTGAAGAACGTAGTCTGTCACACAATTCTAGCTCCCCTTAAACCGACAAACGAGGGATCATAAACAGGAACAAGATACGGTTTCTCGAACAAACGGCGCATCTGAACACCAACTTGATAACCATAGTTAACTAAGCGAATCTTTTCTTTTCTTTTTTCGATCAGCGTTATTCAGCCGCGTTGTTGTTCTCTTCATCCGCCTTTGCGAGTTCCTCAGACTGCTCAGCTGGGGCCGATGCGCTTTCATCAGAACCATCGCCTACCGTGGCGGGAACAGTCTCTTCAGCGCTACACGGATGTTCAGGCTGAGAATCAACTACGGCAGGAACAGCTTCAGCGTCCTGGTCTTTGGGCGATGGCTCTTGAGATGCCTCGGTCCTTGACCCGGATGCAGCCCCCTGATCTTCAACAGCTTCAGGTGCTTCAGCAGGCTTGTCGGCGTCATCGGCCGTTTGGAGCACAGCGTCGGCTTCTTCAGCAGCCGCCACGTCCCCGGCTTCGACGACAGAAGACTGGTCTGCGTTGTCCTGGTCCTCATCGTCGCTGTCCGCGAACTCACGTGGCGGCTCGTCTGGAGAATCGATGACGACTGTGACCTTTTGCTGGTGCGGCAGCTTCTTCTGTTCCTCTTTTGGAGACTCGACTTTTTCTGTGGCGGCCTGCGAAAGGTTTCGACTTGCGTCATGTCTCCGATATTACACGCCACCTTCTGAACCCGAAGTTCAACAAAAAGAAGGAAGACAGAGAGACAACCTTCCACTTTTGCATTGAAAGAAAACCGACGTGATAGCGCAGTAGAGAAATTGCAAGTAACCCGTATGACCGCACGTTTAAAACACATATACCGTTCGCTCTATACTCCACCTGACGCCACAGGTTTGAAACGAGACAGGCAACGACGTTGTAGAAACATTTTACGTTGGAGCTGTCCTTCGCTGCAATAAAAGACGCTAGTGGAGAGAGGGCTGTAAGTGGGATTGACAAGTTTTAGAATATTCTTGAAACGCACTAAAAAAGGGCCCAACGAACATTGTACGCGCTCCTGGAGCCTTGGTTTACAAATTACTTTAATAACAAACCAAAGTAAAAAGAGGCGCCATATTTATTACACTCCATCATCTCGTTTTTCTATTCACACCTTTCTACATCTCATACTCCATCCCCCCCTCTACCTTCTCTTTTCCTACGTGATTCTATATCATTTTTGGAGAATAATAACCAACCCATCCCCTTCTGTCTCGTGTGATGAAGCGACATTATTTTTCTGTTCGATATATCTACTTGTTCTTTTAAAACCACCTTAACGCCTTCGGCATTGGAGAGTAGCTCTGTCCTGCTTCAATTGAATTCGTGCTTTTAGAGTATTTATATTGCTGCAGGCACCGCGCGGCCCTCTTTTTGTTCAAGGAATCTGTCATCCTCAAAGAGGAAAAACGGGCTGGAGAAAACTCACGCAAGAGTTATTTGTCAACTTAATCGTAGTCGATGAAGGCAGATACAAGTGTTCACTTAACCCTTGTATAGTAATATACGTAAAAGATACAGGGAAATCACGTATAAAAAAAGCCTGCAAAGTTACCCTGCCAACAAGAGACGTTAGCTAGTGCCTTGGTACTCACAGTTGCTTCCTGGGTGGGTGGAGTTTCTGGACTAGACACCAAAGGCGCGTAACTCGTCGCCTCTTCCGGAGCTTCCAAAAGCAGCACAAAAGCAAGAGAAAAAACAACTCCAAAGTAAGCCAATTAGAAACAACACAACCCTCAGCACACACAAAAAAAAATCTCCGAACACGTTTTTTATGCAGCAAAAATATACAGTGAAGTATTGTGGAGGATACAGTGTACTGTAGAAGAATTCCAGAACTCGTAAGGGCGTGTCGACATACAATTTCTTGAGAACAACTATGCTTATGAAAATCAGCAACACAATTTTTCCGGCTTCGGTTTTCGGTGTTCGTATAATGCCCAGGCCTCAAATCCTTTAACTTGTGTACAACTCAAAGACACGGCAAAGTCCCCTAAGATTCTACGGTGCACAAGTACTAGAGATAAAGAACCTTGTGATATCCCGGAGGTTCTTTCAGTGCCTGATTATGTACTCATCCTCTACCTGGTTACGACCACTGCCGACGGGACAATCGAGGACGAGTAAACGATGGCATTTTGCTTCGCATTTCTTTTTTCTTTTTATATATCTGTTGAATGTTTTGGGCATAGCGAAAAAATACTGAATTGAAGAGAAGGGTTGCGTATTTTGTCTTCTCACCAGAAAAGCCAACTTAAAACTTTCAAAACAGGAAGCTCAGAATCGTGTCACTTACCTTTCAATTGTCGCCAATGACACATACGCCTGTAATTGTAAGTATCTACAGTACAGATACCAAGGCCGATTCAATCTAAAGGACGCATCATTTTCTGGCATATTTCAACTCTGCATGCTACACAACAAACGTAGCATTTTTTTCTTATTTTTTTTTTTGGTAGCCTGAGCAGGTTTCATAATTACTTCTTGTTTAGAAATAATTTCTCTTGGTAGACGTTAGTAATGCTCCAGCGTACGAAATGTGGGTGACAAGAAGTGGAGCATTTGGCATGTCTGTACACTGGGTTTGCTAGATGTTTGTCTAGCACACGTAACCCTAATATACGAAACAGACTGGAAACCAAAACTGTAGTTACGAGTAGATCACATTAAAATTCACTTTCTACGCCTAAATCTCAGGTCACACAAAAGCAAATACTTTTCCCACCGAACTCTTCTTTACAAAGCAGAGTCACCACGTGAATCACGAAATCCACGGGAATCTAGAACAGGCAACCACACAATAATCGAGACTCGGTGTCCAGGTGTAGAAACAAAAGAAAAAGAAAGCTGACAACGGTTGATAAAAGTGTCAGAAGATATTTTCTTAAAAATAAAAGAGTATTAAAAAATAAGAAATGAACCAGCAAAGCGAGAATGTCCCGGAAATTCATCCATCAAGCTCAAGACTCGGCTGGAGACTTGGCATTCGTGTGTAAGAAACCAAGCACATGAGGCCATAGCGGCGCGTGGGCCGTTCAGTTCCAGCTTCGCCACCATGACGGTACAAAAAGTCAATCGTGAAGAGAAAAAAAAAAAGAAGAAAAGTCGAGAAGTCTTTGGGGTGAGGACAGAACATCAAACGAGGCCGAGGGGTTTGATCGTCGTGATTGGAAAGGGCGGGATGGAAAGGGACTCTGTGATGGCTACGTCTACATCTTCATGATGTCGCATCGCCGATAAAGTGACGAAGATATTTCTCTGACGTCTGCGTCACTTAGCTGGAAAGGTATTGAACTCTTGCAACCAGTTTTCAATTTAATCGCTCCAAACACCTTAAATAAACCAACATGGGACCCAAGGGGCGGAGGGGGAGGGGGGAGGGGGGAGGTGGATGTATTGGGGCAGCTAGGGCTCTAAGCTGGACACTGTGAGAAAGTGGGCGAGACTTTTGACCGTCGCGATTGGCCAGCGCTTCACGCCGCCAGTCGTGGTGATCAGAAATTTGGCCGACCTTCTCGCCGAGTATCCAGCTTAGAGCTTCCGGTGGATAGGTGTGGACTCCAGTTGTGTATGCGGGCCCTGGACGGATGGATGTTGACCCTGGCTGTAAATAATCCAGTTTTTTTGTCAGCATATTAGCAAGTTTGTAAGCAGCGCAGCTTGGACCGTTATGTTGAAAGGGGTCTCTGCAAGGCATTTCATCGTTCGGAAAACAAACACTGCAAAAAAGTTGTCTCTCAAGTTGAGGCAGATCTAACCATGCATTCTACTGTAGTCCAGACAAGCCGCGTTTGATACGCTTTTGTGCGTTAATATGACTATTATTTCATCTAGTGTTTCTACAAGCTCTTGCATGCAAGAACTTACTAAATTCGCAAAGCTCTCGATTGAGATTTAATTATTGCTTATTGGAAACTAAAATAAATCATGCAACAAGTTCAATTATAAAAAAACAAGCATTCTTTATTTTCCCAATCACATCGTCAGCGAAAATTCCGACTGGAACTACCCCTCTGTGTACCATGAGATGAATAGCGCTCATTTTATATACTAAAAGCGAAAGCAAAATGTAGAATGTCGTCCTACCTTATACGCACATTGGATGTAACAAAAGGCCAATCACAACCATTGAGGCAAGCGAATAAAAATACATTAGAGCATATTCGTTCTGATGAGGCAAAAAAACGGATGTCACTGCCTAACCCAAATGGTGTGCATTTTATATTTTTATTTTATTTTAATTTAGGGGTGCATGAATACCAGTTTGAATCGAACAGTACTGTGTCATTCAGAACTTTCACAGTGGAAAGTTACGACAACAAGTTTTCTTAACAGCGTTAAATATAGGGATGACACAGCTCTATTCTATCCAAACCAGCAATCGCACCATCTCTAATTTCTATATAAATATGAACGTCATTGCCTACCGGGATTAATATGCATACATAATTTCAACCGTTCGGGCATTGCTAGTGAGAAAAATATGCATGTTTCGTTAGTAAGCTGATGATTTTTTTGTCTTTGTCATTCAAACTCAGTGTTGGGTAATTTGCCCACGTGTAACGCGTCCTCCTTGCGGCTTCTCGGAGCGCGAACCTCTTGTTTGTTCGTTGTGGACGGACGAGTAAAGAAGCTTAGGAAGCGTGAGAACAGGTTGGAAGGCCCACCTTGCACCGCCGTGCCGTCGGGCGCTTCCTGGTCCGCTTGCTCTTGGCCGGGGGTTTGCGACACGAGGAACGCGGGTTTGGGCGGAGTGAAGGCCGGTGGAGGAGGAAGAGCGTCCATGCTCGGATCGTCCTGGGAACGCCAAGCAAAAAAACAATTTCGGGATCTGTCTTTCTTTCTTTCAATGGCGCGGCTATGATTTGTTTCGTTTGAAGTCAAAAGAGCACACGACGCCACGATCTGAATGAACCAACCAAGCAGCGAAAAAAGTGCACCGTCACGGTGGTCGTCGTCTTTGTACGTTTGCTCTGTCGACCACCTAAAACCAATCACGCAAGGTGAATGCACCACGATTTTCTGCTTTCTCAATCCCTGATTGGCTGGCCGGTGGTAACAAGTGCGCAAAGACGACATGGGTGCACGGTGGATGGATGTGAATGGCTATTGTAACGGGAGGTAGCTCGCGCCACCTAGCCTAAGTCTTAGACAAGCGCCGTGACGATGTACTTTTGGGGCTGCTTGATTGGCTCCATCGGAGTGTATAGATTCGGCTGCGCTTGCGCACTGAGTGTGAAACGGAGACTACGCGGAGCGCCAGTCTCGTCTGCTTCTTGCAGAGGGGTTGTGATGATGTCAGAAAGCCAAAATCTTATCGGCTGAATGAAAAAAAAAAAAAAAAATAGGGGGTAGACCTTTAGGCATTTAGTATCGATGTCTACCCACCGCTAATATTTATCATAGCCACGCTCTGGGGTTGGCAAAGTAAAGGAGGGCGCGCGCTGACTTCCAGACATGGTTGGGGTGGTTCGGCTATAGTCGTCATTGAAACGATTGGGCACGAGCCCCTATCCGAATGCTTGTCGAGCTGTTGATTATCGCGAGCCCAAATCTAGTGCTCATGCAATGATCGGGGTCCAATCTATGAGCCGCATTCAGATGTCGTCACTAAGATGTTATATATCGCAGGTGGCCAAACTGCGGCCGTTCGCGGGTCCAGGTGCAGCTCACGTCTCCCTAGTAAGCCTGCCCTTCTGCTTATGCCACCCCCCCCCCCCCCCCCCCAAAAGTTATAGAATTAAAAAAAAAAAAAATCTACGTTGATACGCCTGGACTGATTTTGACACAGATGTGTCCAGTGACCTTGTTTGCTTTATTATTCTATAAAGAATTCCGAACCGTATACGGATTACGGGCGTCAGGGGTAACGGCTGGCTAGTGACCCATGCATTTGTTTTTGATTAGGGCTCGAAGAAACGTTCTGCTGCCTGGTGTTATGTCGACAATTATACTTGTCCCCTTTGGAAAGAACTGTTCCCTTCATATCATTTCTTGTTAAAAGTATCCCTCCCTTCCCCCTTTTTTTTCTTTCCTGCGGCTCTAACCCCATGTCACTCTGCCCAACCCTGCTATATATCGTCAGTGGGGGACTACATATCATTACTGAGGGACACTGCGACCTCCAAAGAATGTCGTCAAGTTTTGTGAAGAAGAGATTGATAGAAAACGCTCTCTTTTATTTTTGAAAGTACATAGCAGCGAAGAGGTTTATTGGTCAATAGCTCTGCGTGCAAGTATACTTTGGTCCCTCTAGTGCCAATAGACTCGTGTCAAGTGGAAAAAAAAAACATTCCCTCTGAATATAGTGGTACCACCCCTTCAATTCCTCATCCGTTAAGGCGAACCAGGGCACTTACCATGGGCGTCTGCGGTTCTCCGGTTATCTTGAGGGCTTCGACCATGAGGGACGGGAAGATGCCCACCTGGCCGTCGATCTCGCCCTCCCACCAACCGTCGTCAACGTCGTCGTGCACTACTTTCCGCAGAATCCGAATCACTTGTCCCTCCTGGAAGGCCAGTTCGTCCGAGCCGCTCGGCTCGTAGTCATAGATGGCGCGGCAGTAGACCGCTGCAACGTGGCAAGAAGGCAAAGCCACTACCCTTAGTTTGCGAGGAAAGGGGTAGCAAACCTGATTGGAAAATAAGAAATGTGGTGAGTTGGGCCAGTGGGTTATGAGAGAACACAATAAAAAGCACCGCACAAGGGACATGACCACAGGAAAGAGACATACCGCAGAACCCAGTGATCCTGGGTTCAATCCCCACCCCTACACGCGTTTCGATCTGGATGAACATCGTACCGGCGTGCGGTCGTGTACCGATGCTAACTGGTGCACGTTAAAGACCCCAGGCTACCGGTTTGTACTGCACTAGCTAAATTTCTCATCTACAGCGGGTAGACAAGTCGCCCTTTGAGGCAGACCAAGTTCTAGGCTGTATAAACATATCCACCACCAATTTTTTTTTTTATGTGCCTCTCTCCTGTTGGTTTGCCCTTTGTGTGCTCATGTTCGTGATGTCGGAGAATGACAACGCGACTAAACAAACAGAGCATTATACAGAGGATTATAGTAATCGGCAGCTAAAAAAAAAAAAAAAACATGCGGGTGTGCATTATCACGTTCTTGTTTCACGCTCCGTGATTAGTTCTTTCGCATTTTTATCGGCTTTTGTCAGAATATAACTGGCTGAGGCGCTATCATAAGATGTTCAGGGTTACCATGCAGCGCGTTTCTGAAGCCGTGGGCGACTATAAAAACAGACAGCTCCACGCGGCTTCGTTTCCTTTTACTGCTGATCATATCCGCGGTCATTGCAAAGCGAGGAACAGAAAAACTGCGATGCACTAGTCTGCAGACAAAGTAAAAATGCTGAATAGGCTAAAAGCCTATTCAGCTCAGGATGACGGCAAACTGTATACTCGGGGCATATCCGTAGATTCCTATATTCGTTTATGCGGACATCATTTATTTGCGGTCACGTGGCCAGCTAAGATACGTTAGATATAATTATTGTTCAAAGCTATATTTTGAGATCGATGTCGACAATAGCTCGTACCTGAACAGGGTAATATGTAACTCGCATGCCCCGCTATAGACAGTGAACTCGAAGGCCTATTTTGCTTTATGGATTTACTTAATAATTGCAAACAAACGCATGCGCCAGCACCCTGTTTTTTTTTATTTTTTTATCGAGCACGGGAGTTATGATATTGTTTATTTACTACCCACTAAATTTAGTAAGGAAACTAAATTGGCGCATAGGTCCCGTGAAGTCTATTTTGCGCTAATTTTAGCGTGAAAACTTGGTTGATGTATAAGCAACGTGACAGCAGGTCAGGTGATATCAATTTAGTCGCTAAATTGAGCGAGGAAACTGAATCGGTGCATTGGTCAAGTGACGTCCGTTTCCATTTCTCTGCTGTTCAGCGTGAAAAATAAATAGGCGTATAGGTAATATGCCATCATATCATGCGACGTAAATTTATTCCCTAAATTTAGCGGGGAATCCGAATGTGTGCATAGGTAACGTCACGTCAATATCCCCGGTGAGTTTAACGCGGAAATGCACGCACGGAGGGACGGACAGACGAATTTCTGGGATTAGGAAACTCCGTTGGAAAGCATTAAAAGAGTCGTTCTCGGAGTCTTACTGCTGAGACGCGTTTCTCCGGGTGGCGCGAGGCTCGTGGGGAAGTCCGTGGGAGGGATGACCTCTTCTGCGGCGGCAGCTTCGGGAGGCCCGGACGCTTCGGCAGATTCAGCGTCGCCGCTCACCTCTTCGCTGGACTCGACGCGGTAGTCCACGCTCGAGAAGGACTCTCCGGACGCCCCGGCCTGCTGAGCGTCCACGATCTCCACGTAGTTCTGGGGAATGAAGCCTTCCTCGCCCTTGTAGTTGCGAGCCTGAGAGGAAAGAGGCGAAGAAGAGAGGGGAAACAAAATTACACAAGTTTGATTATGATGGCAAAGACCAGTCCCCACCACGTCGCAGAAATTGACGTCTTGTGACTGGAGGGGATATGCAAGGTGACTTGAGGTAACATGCAGCGGCCCGTCCTTCGACGTGCCGGACGCGGCTGCTTTGGTAACCGCAGCGTAGACTACGAAATGTGTACGTTTCGAAGCACAATGTCTAGATGCCGTTCCGACGTACTCTATGGAACACACACTTTTGAAAAGAAAATCAAGATGGCGCTTCAAACGACGAGAGGCGAACGTAAGTGAGTAAGGGAAATACCCCCCTCCGCGGGATTTCCGCAACTGAGATAATCTTGTAAAGGTGCTTACATGACATGGTGCCGCTACGTGATTTGAGGTCGCATGACATGATCACGTACCGTCATTTTCTCCGCTAAGTTTAGCGTTCAAATTGATATCACGTGACCATAAGCCCCCCGCCAGATTTAGCGGAGACATCCGTGTGACGGTTCTTCGTGACAGCTTTCTCGTGGACACCGACTGATAAAACATTTGTGTTAAAAAACGACTAGTTTAATGTCCGGCAGCTTGCGATTATCCAAAACAAGAAGTAGAGGGATTATGGTTTCGATGAGTTAGATGCATTTTAATTCCCTCGCTGACTCGTTTTTGGCTTTGGCAGATTGCATGCAGTACAGAAAAAGATTGCGCATTTCTTTTCTGCATATTAGGAAGAAAACTGTGCTGAAGAATACTATTAGTTTACTTATGTACTTTTAGTGCACCTCTTTGTTTAGGGGCGTGCTCCGCACGTATACGAACTGTATACGAACCATATGAACAAAGCTCAAGTTTTGAGCCTAGTTCATTCGCCGGGCGAACGAGTTCTGACGATATAGTTGGGAAAATAAACAAAAACAGATGTTCGTTATGCTTTCTGCACAGGTACGTTTTGACAAAATAACAAATTACCAATCTGAAATGTATATATAAAATTTGAAATGTATCTAATCCGAAATGTATCTTTTTTCAAGGCATTCAGCCTGCTAGGGGTGGATATTTTTCTGTACAATGGTTCTTCGGATGAAAACAAGCATATAAAGCTCGACATACCATATTTCAAGTATTAATACTCTCTGAACTACGCTGTAGATTTTCTTTCATAAAAGAGCAAGAAGAGTGGACTTTCAAGTATATTGCTTTCTGTGGGGGTGGACAAGACTTTACATAACAGACCATACACAGCCATTAAAAACGCCATTACTCGACAACACAGGGCGAGATCCGCGTGAGGCACGACGTAAGAATACAACCCCGGAAACCCAAGCACAACCGTCGGCTCCCCGTCCCCCGCTCACGATGACAAACGACCGGCGGGGAGGCACCGAGCCCCAGCCGTCAAAGAGAATGACCGCCTCGAGTACCTTGATCCAGCCGTCGCCGTCTCCCTCCGAGATGATCTCCATCTCCTCTTGCTCCACAAAGCTGAGTTCATCCGGGTTAGCGGCCTGGGAGAAGAAGAAGAAAGAGAGAGAAAAGAACGACACAAATGTTGTCACCACCGTCGTAGAACTCTTGGCACCATGTACTCTGTCTTCGGCGACCGACTCGAGGTCTGCGTCTGTCAGTTAGGGTTATGGCTCATCCAGTCGACGCCCTCCCTCTGTGTAATAGGCCTGCAGCTTTCAAATTTTGAGCTGTGTCCTTGGCGAGCCACGACGGACGTTTCTAGGTCGCGCTTCGGTTGAGCGTCGTCAGACTCGTCCGCGCTGATATATATTTGTGAAATAAATCAACGAAAAAACAATGACGTTAAAACGATATCATCAGGTTTGATAGGACGCTGAAGGGACGAACTGCACCGTTCTTTTGTTGATTTCAAATATTGGTTTTTATTCTTTCAAACGCCCTGTTAGTGCGCGTGGACAGACGCTGCAAGACGCTGACCGACGCTTGTACACGCCCATGAATTGTGGGTGATGGCACTCTAGGACGCCCCTTTATGTTAGCGTTAAAAGGTCGCGTCTCGCGGACTAGCGGAGGCTACAGGGCCTTCTTTGTGGACATGTCTTGCGGACGCTACAGGGCCTCCTTCGTGGACATGTGTTGCGGACGCTACAGCGCTCCCTGACCGAGAGACATAAGACTGTAGGGTGCAATCTGTAATCTGTATGGGCCTACTACGTCGAACTGGTTGGTGTCTGGTTTACTGCGTTTACTCAAGAATACGAGAATCTGCTTTCCAGATACGTTGTGAAGGTTTGAAGGTAGCAGGACATTTCGCCATGTTCTCGTAAGATCATTTAAAGTAGCGCGATAAACGCAGACAACCTTTTCCAATATTTCTTTGTGAAGACCGTCTACAACAAATGTGTTTTTCCGGCATTTGCGTGCGTGTGTGTGTGTGTGTGTGTGGGTGTTTTTTTTTTTTTTGCTTATCGTTTATTTGTTGATTGTTCAAAGTCTGCATGGTGTCAACGATATCCTCACCCGTTATACTGTTGCACCGTCACTCCCATGAGCCAACTCCAGAATTGTGACCACCTGACACGTACACTTGGAAACCCGTCTGACGTCATTGATTACCTTTTCGCGGACACTCCAATGCATAGGCAGTACGTCCCAAATTGTGTTTCTCATATTACGGCGAGGTGGCCGTGCTAGATATAAAAACGTACATGGGCGGATGCTGCGCTCTTAAAAAAAAAAAGAAAAGGAAAAATTGGTGCCGAACCATCCACAGTACCCACAGCTGCTGTCGGAAAATCCGATTGGTTATAAAAAATGAGTTCGACAGCACAAACGCATAGACATTTGCAGGGATACGTCCGCCACACTCCCCGAGAACCAGTGCTGTATCGTCCAGCAAACGTCATAACAGACTCTTTGGTTAACAACTTACCCCCCCCCCCCCCCTTTTTTTTTTCCTTTCCAGTACACATTCTTTTGTATTAATAAAATGTATGACAGTCGAAGCAAACTATCATTAGTCCTCACTGATCGAACTGATTGAAAAAGAAATGAGTCGAACACTGATGGTTTGATTCTGTTGCAGCGTTCCTCATAGAGTATAACGCGAAGCAATGAAGCAGTCACAACCCTTGTTGTGACTTATTCGCGTTACATTCTTGCTGTGACTCGGAAATGTATTGCATCGCTATAGGGTACAATGAAATGCCCTTTTTGACGCTCGGTTATTGGAACATATTTTAAGCAGTGTGTAAGTGAGTCGCACTCAGTGTACGGTTTTTTTGTTATTTCCATTTCAAGGACGTTTATCAAGTTTAAAGCGAGGAGTCGTTGAAGTTTATCTACGGAACGCGGCACGAAAACAAGGCCGGGTGCACGCGTAGTGAGTCAGACCAGAAAAACCTTAACCAAAACGGCGATCCTGTTTCCCAGGAAAAAAGACATGGCTGCAGATTCAGGAAAAAAAAAATAATAATAACAAATCTTCTATGAACTTTGACGCGGACCGGGAGGTTTCCAGTCAGCTTTGCATAGCAAAGAAGACATCGACTATACCCTTCTTGCTGATCTTTCTGGGTTTCAGAGTCTCGTTGGCTTCCTGTGGTGACCCTAACGTGGCGGGTTACAGGAAGGTGTGCGTAGCTCGGGGTCCCTCTCTGTCAACTTGCGAGAGAAACCAATGCAGGAAGACAAGGTGCTGCCGTTCCGTCTTGTAGACGACAGTTTTTTTGTTGTTTTTTTTCGCCGAAGGATGCACATACTACTTCCAGCTTCCGTGGCGAGAGAACTTTGGTTCGAAGTGGGACACCGATGATTTGGCAGCATCCAAAACGGCTGAACGTAGAATTTCCCCGCGTGCTCTATACGAACGCAGAACAAATGATGTTGCATCGCATAAACGTCTCCTTTGTGTCTCACTTAAACTCTCCGGCGTTTAGGTGCTAAAACAATTCACAACGCCCTGCATTTCTTAAATTGTTCGTGAGCTGTCTTTTAGGTGGAGTATTTCGACTGATGTGATGTGGTCGTGTCAATCTACACTGGGCAGCTTCTTCTCCTGTCTCCCTCTTAAACATTCAGTCAATAAATTAAACAGGATTGAATCTAAACAAATCACGACGATAGTAAAAAAAACTAACAAAATCAATTGAAAAAACAAAAGAAACTTTCAGACGTTTGATGGTGGCCACCGAGTCCTGACGTCATAGCTTAAAAAAACCCGCGCGTGTGCATTCGTCATTTTATATGCCATCTGTCTCGCTTTCCTGGTCCCAGGTTGAAGGCTCGCAATGAGGAGTATTCACTGGGCGACATATTTGTGGGTGCTGTCTAGAGCGCATGTTCAGAATGAACCCCCATTAATAGGCTGCTAAGACCGGCCATTTTGACGGTGTGAAATGCACGTTGCAAAAGAACCCTGGAAGCTAGCTATCAGCACGCGCTCAGCAGTCGCGCACACAGCTATGACCGCCAGTGAATACTTCCTATACACCGATTAGTCCTGGGGCTCTAAACTCGTCAAACACAAAGTTGGGGCCGAAGTTGACGGAGCGCACCGATTGGATAATCGCGACAATGACTTAGCACTTTTGTCACCGACGTCCAATCGGCGCGCTCCGCGAACTTTCGGCTCCAACTTTGTGTTTGACGAGTTTAGGGCCCCTGTAAAAATAATACAATCATTAAGGAATGCACAATCCGAATTCATGGGCTTTGTGGATGAAGATTTCTAGGACGCCATTTTTAATCGAGCCGTGACTTTAATCTCGGGAGGTATCACCCTGTACCCTCACGCGACATAATTAAACATACCTGTCTTCGAGAAATGCAAATAAAAAAATAAAAAAAATAATAAACGTCACTGCCGGTGTGCCTACGCAATGCGCGTAACTAATGCCGACTTGACGCTGCAATCGTAACGTCCGTACCTACATTATGTCTCGTAGCAGACGCAAACGCAGCAATTGTGTCACTGCGCACACACGATTTTGTCTAAAACTGAGACAACGGGCGAGGCAATCTGTCGCCTTCTTCGCTGTCTCAGCGAGTAAACTTGCTAATAAGTTGTCTTGGCTCACTGTCTCAATATAAACCGTAGTAAAAAAAGAAGTCCGGCCTTTTGGTGGAACATTACTAGTTTCCCCTGTTCTGCATTGTACTAAAGGGGCCACGAAAATTTTTTGAAACGTGTTCCTCCTTAGCTTTTCATCCTCAACGCAAAGGCGAAATGAGAAATCACGCGATCGTGCCGTGCTTGGACCAAGGACGCGATGACTTTAAGCTTCCATCGTGCTTTTAAAGCACACCAAGGAACTTGGCATTCGCAAGTGATGGTAGGTGCCGTCGCGGCACTGATTGACCACAAAAGCGAATTCAAATGTTCGTAGACGGATTGAATGTTTACGAACGCGTACTTCTGAGTGACGCAATCCTTGCGTCCAATATGCGGGAGCTGTGTTCGGCTGACGTGCTTGGGTATACCGTGGATGCATCACAGTGGAAAGGCGGAGAGCTTTCGAAGAAAAGAGGCAAAAAATAGTCCTGTATGTTTTTCACATTTTCGTACCGAAAAAGCAGCCTTTGGGCTTTCTACCCAATATAGTTTTGTTTTGGCCCACTAAACGATATACGATTTAGTAAACTCCCAATGTATTACAAACCAAAATTTGTATCATGGTCCGTTTAAGATATATGGATGCATCTTAGATTAACTTTATGTTACTGTATCAGGACGTAAGCGTTTCACAAGCAAAAATCATCGCTTCTTTCTATGACAACCAAATCTTGCAAGATATACTTCGCCCAGCTCATAAAAAATGCGCAAAGCGTCTCTTTTTTGTTTTATGTGACAACGAGTATGTTGTTTCCCCTACAAAACATACGCTTAGAGTATCGGGACTCCATTCCCTCAATATGTGGCGGGCGCCGCCATTTTGGTGGTCCTGATTGGAAGGTGCCACTTTCTCAGCTTTAGGTATACGGCGCCGGGAAGCTCAGGCGACATTGCATTGTTCCGTTGCGGACTTGTTTGAACATTTCTCGAGTACAGAAAAGCGTTTTCTGCGATTTCAGATAAAGCTCGAGATAACTCGCAACAATAATTATACGCACCAAAGGTTTGTCAATCGGAAGCGTAGCTTATTTAGGGGGTTCTAGGTGATAGAATATATCCTGGATGGATGGATGGATGGATGGATGCTAATAGCTGTACCCTCTATAACGGGCGGTGACTGGCGCCACCTAGCCTAGTAACTATTGATGTAATATAAATAACTTTCAAAGCAAGCGCGTTTCTTGCAGAAAAATTATTGCAACGGCAGCTCATCGAAACCACTCCTTCACCGAAGAAGAATACCGGTAATGAAACAAAAACAAGGTGAAGCCGTGAATTCCGCATAAGCTAATTCTTCGGCGCCGACTGTCCCGGAAATGATAGATCAACACATCTGTCGGCTCCAGCGCGGCACGGCCTTTGTAACAGGTGGCGGCACGCGAAGCAAACTCTCGAGGATACGGGTATAGGGCAGAGCTGAACCTA